GCGACAACTACCACCATTCTTGAAGACCCGAGAGGCCATGGATAATCCGAACGGGAGGGCTTTGAATGGGAAATGCCAGTTGCCTACTGCAAATCGGAGGAAACGATGGTGGGGAGGGTGGATGGAAACGTGGAAGTAAGCATCCTTGAGGTCCAACGTAACCATCCACGTCCCTGGATCTAGGAGTGGAAGGATGGACTATAACGTTGTCATCCCGAACTTTTTGTATATGATGAAAGAGTTCAGGTTCCTGAGGTCCAGAATGGGTTGAAGGCCTCCATCCTGCTTCGGTACCGTAAAGTAACGAGAGTAGAAGCCCATTATGGGTTGTGCTGATGGTACCGGCTCTATAGCATCCTTGCTTAGGAGATTTTGAATCTCTTCTAAGAGGACTGCTGAAGGTGGTGTGACGACGACTTGGGTGGTGCAAGGGATTTGGGAAAAAATCAGGTATCCCATTTTTATTAATGAGAGGACCCACTGGTCCGACGTAATGGACTCCCAGATCGACAAGTAAGGAGACAAGCGTGTAGGGAGTTGGGAGAGAAGGTGTGAGTCAAAGGCTCTGTTTAGTGTTCTTAGCAGTTTTGGTTCTAGATAGAGAGGTAGACGAAAACTTGGGTTTTTCACCGACGGATGACTCGGAGACCTTGGCCAGTGTGGCTCAGAGAAAGATTTAGACGATGGTCTACCTGACCATTGTTTGGACCATGGTTTTCCCTTATGCGGTTTAGGAGGAGGTGCAACCCCTAAGCTGCGAGATGTCTTGATGCTTTTGTCAAGCTCTTGAAGTACTGCATCCGTGGTGGAGCTAAAAAGTCCATCACCTTCTAATGGAAGGTCTTCTACAGTGGTTTTAGTTTCTGGCTGTAAGGCAGAGGAATGTAACCATGCGTATCTGTGTAAGGCGACTGCAAAAGTGAGAATCTTTGCCGCTGTATCCAGTGAGTGCTTGGATACGTTAAGTTGATGTTTCGCCAAGAGCATCCCCTCTGTTTGGATGTGTCTAGCTTGGTGCCTACAATCATCTGGGAGAGTTGAAATAAATTCAGACATTTGTTCCCAGAGGGAATACTGATAACGTCCCATGCAAGCTGCATAATTGGAGGTTTTGATACCCAGAGCTCCCGTAGTATAAAATTTTCTGCTACCCCTTTTGCATTCTCTTTTGATCAGGACTTCGGTCATATAGACCCGTAATAATAAATTGAAAAAATTGGGGGGGGAAATTCTGCCGAAAGAATCAATTTTTCGTCCCTCTTTATTCGGAGGTGTAGAATGAGTACTCTTGCCCTTGGTCGAGGATGTAACCACTAACGAATTAGGCTTTGGATGAACGAAAAGGAATTCTGCCCCAGATTCCTGAATCTTATACATATGATCCAACCTCTTATTGGAGATCGATACAGAGGAAGGATGAGTCCAGGGGGCTTTGGCTGTTTGCAAAAGGACGGACGTCATGGGAAGGGCGACCGCTGTCGAAGTGTCCATTTGTACTATATCGAAGACTGAGTCCATGACCGTCGGCAGAGGCTGGATGGTGGGCAGAGCTAGTGTGTGAGCCATACGTTTAATAAAGTCCCCATAGGGTTTAACGTCCTCTGATGGTGAAATGGGGAGTTCAACCTTGACTTGTTGCTGAA